CAAGTAATTCATTTAGCTCAAGCTACTGAGAAAGAGCTTTGTCCTGTTCAAGCATTGCATGATTTCGTCATGCCCAAATCACCAGGGTATACTCTTTTGTCATTTTAATGGGAGCCCACTGACAAGATTTCAATTTGGTGCTGTGCTTAAAAAAGCACTGGTACTCTGGAGTTCATGGGGCACAACTTCAAAACCCACTCGTTTCGGATCGGTGCTGCAACAACAGCCAGTTGGGAATTAATTGCCATTTTACACTTTTACTGACATGTTTGTATGATCAGGTCCTGCGACAGTCTGGATAATTGGTGACTCAATTGTTCGTCGTGCTCGTCAGCCACTTGATTCCTGTAAGGATATTTTGGAGAGGCAAGCGTGGGGCTGAGCTGCGTTTACAATCTCCCTGAGTTGCTACACTCCATGGGGTCCCGTAATCACCCAAATATTTTAATTATTCATATCGGTACTAATGACATGGTCCGCGCAGACATGTTTCAGATTAGGCAGCGTATTGCACATTTCATGCAGTTTTGCCATCAAAGTTACCCCCCCCCCCCATACCACGTTGGTGTGGTCAGCTATTCTGCCACGCCTGTTTTACTTTGGAGCAAAGGATCAAAAGGCCATGGACCAGGTCTGCCGATCAATTAATAGGTGGGCGCGATCTTGTTGCAGGCTGTTTGGGGCTTCATTTTTACCCCGTGATGAGATTCAGAGGACAAATCATGCTCTGTTTTTGTATGATGGGGTTCACCTCAGTAATATGGGAACGAAGTTACTGCTGTCTGATTTTGTCTCCTGCATTGCATCACACATTCAGTGTCAAGGGAATTAAGTTCAGTGCAGTGATGGGGAGATTGTAAATATGTTCTTGTTTAGTGTGGTCTTCTTCCTGGGGTGTGCTGTGCACTTGTGGCGTCTTTAACAGGTTTCAAAGACAGCTCATGCCTAATACATGTACGTACACACATGAGTTTACATGTAGCATTAGTTTTATGGGTATGTTACTGATATTGTTGCTGATATTGTTACTGATATTGATGTTTTTAGTAATACAATGTGATTTGAACTTTGTAAGGGGCAGCCACTCCCCCTTACGTACCCCAGGGGCCGGATGTGCTGTATTTCCATAGCGCAGCCATGGCTGTCCCCCACAGATGTGGACTGGGTCATATGTGTGCCCATTCATTAATGGTTGGCCTGGGAGTCAAATTGATAATTGACGTACATGTACGGGACCTGGGAGTCCATTATATGTTTAACATGTTTCTTTCGGGCCTGTTAGCCCTATGACTTGATGCCAGCTTGCCCATATTAATTCGGTATCTGGCGAACGAACAAAGTTTGAAATAAATAACTTGAAGCTGTGGGGAAGATGCACAAAAAGTTATATCTTGAGTTTCATTCTTATTGAGTCCGAGTTTAAGAGATTTTGTCACAATGCATGTATTTTGACAAAATTCATTATAGTCTTGAGTTTCATTCTTATTGAGTCCGAGTATAGGCAGGACCTATTTTCCAACTGCAGTGTTAAATAAGGGACCATATATATCTGGGTGTACATGTGCACATGTAGCACACAATTAGGCTCATTGGAATGCATACAAGTTAATTATACCTTGCTGTATGCTTACATGCTATTAATTCAATACAATGAACAGTAACAAAAGTCAGCATGTATTATACATCAAAGAGCATCTTTGTGTAATTTTATCAGATTTTGATGTCCCGTTTGCTACCAGAGACAGCAAATGGTCCAAGAATGACAACGGTTTAACTTTAAGACCAACTGTGCAGTTGAAAAGTTGCAATTTAAGAGATACGCTAGGAGAAATTGCTCAGCGTAACCAAAAATAAATGCCTGTAATTATATGGACTGTACAGTGCCCATATAAAGCGGGGTTATTCGACTTCACATGCTCTCATGCAGGCAAGCACTGTGTGATAGATATTCCTTGCCGTTTGTTTTGGGTAGTGTCACATTGTCAGACAGTAATTTCCACTGAACTTGCGTGTTTGCAACTTTTCAAACTGCATAATTTGTCACAAACCATAGTTAATCTTGAAAAATGTAAAGTCTTTGGTACCAAACAAGGTATCAAAATGCAGCTGATATGATTCCCCACAGGTGTATCATCAATGACGTCCCCAATCACATTCAACATTATGACACTTCTAATGAGTGTCAACTTTCTTTTTGGGGGGCATTTTTGTACATGTAGGCCTAATTACCCTTTATGTAATACCACACAGCATAACAAAAATAACTGTATGAATTAAAGTTGATAAGCACCAGCTAAAGCTTGGAGCTATACCCGCTCTTGATTTATCATGCTCAATCTGTGCAAGTTTGCTTTAAAATTGTAAGAGTATTTAAGTTAAATTATCCAAATAGTGTTATATATTTTTTTACACTTTACAAGGTTATCCTTCATTTCCCCTAATTGAGTTTTATGAAAGGATGTTGACCTCTCTACTTTCCTTTATGCCTAAAGCAGCTGGCTCTTGTACACTGATTACAAGATTTAATGTGTTTATATTCCACCATGGAGTTCATACACATGGCTAAATCTGTTTGTCACTTTAGTGAGACAACTAAAAGTTCATAATTAAAAATTGACAGTTTCTATAGGCCTAGTCACAAGCAAAGTTAATCAGTAAAGCCTTTTTTCTGTTTATAGTAAGATTCTTGAAGAATGCTGATTAAGTTTTCCCCTGATTTGTGAGAATATAAATAAAGATAGCTCCATGCTGACACTGATTAACACTTTTCCAAACACAGGTGCTTGGCCACTAGGTACTTGCCTTTAGGGATTTTTCTATTCTGTTACTGCAGTGTGCTCAAAGGGAGGGGACAAAGGAACATTGCAATGGAGCTTCAAAGTTTCCCCTCTCCATTTATAGGACAGTAAATGAAATTAAGAGTATGTCCACGAGAGGACCATGCAGACCATGACAACGTGGGGGTCGGTGGATTTGGTTAAAATTTGGGGGGTAGGTGGGTCATAGGTAGCCTTGAAGTTGTACAAAATATTTGGCCAATCTGACCTCCGTAGCAGGAAAAAGAGCCAAAAATGTGGGGTTTTTTAGTAGAAAAATGGTGGTTTTTATGATTTTGGGGTACAAAAGTTTAAACGCTTGCTGCTGAACAGGGGAAAGCAGCAGAGCAATGAAATTTGCAGGGTCTTGAGGTTGTATCCTGACCTAAACCAGGAATTCAAAATTTAGAAAAAAATTGCTCTTAGGAGGCAACTGCACTAAGGGTACCCCCAAAGTTGAGTCATAGAAATAGCGATATTTAAGTCGCCGTAGCGGCATTATTGCAGGTCTTTGAACAATGACACTCAGGTGGAAGAGAGGTCTTATCATGGTCTTTAAGTATCAATAATAAAAACCATTGTCAGCAGTTTTTAGTATGAAATGGCAGGAGCCTGTTTTACCCTATTTTTCGCTAGTAAAGGGACAGGGGAGGGGCATACAGTGCCCCCACTTTTCTGTATTTTCATAAGTCGACAACTAATTTTCATGAAATTTGCCACCTAATTTTAATTTTCCAAGTTGTAAATAATGACGTCAAAAATGCTATAACAAATCTTCAATAGAGGGTGTTTTAATTTTTTTTTGGCACCTTTTTGGTCAAAAAATTTATTTTTCACATAATTTCTGTCTTTTTTGCTTGAATGTTATGAAAATTGGCAAACGTGTATATTTTTTCATGATCAATATAATTAAAACCTATTTTAATACTGGAGACGCCATTAGGGGTGCTATAATCCCTTAATTTATCCCATTTTTAGGGTAGGGGGTTCACTTTAAATCAATATGGCCGCCACCTTTCAGAGTCCAGGATGGAATGTATACCCTGTCCGATTTGTGGCAGAGGGAGTCCCCACAAATGTTCCTATACAGGCTCAACAGACACTTGTATTTTTGTTAACAGAAGTATCCCCAATAATCCTCTAAAGAATTCCCGAGATTACCAGAACACAATGAAGACACAATGGGGGTGGGGGTACACCCTGCCATATATCTTGCACCAAATGTTGGAATGATGAGGCTTGGATGACAATCCTGTTATTTGTTTGGCATGTTAATGTAACCCGGAAAATTAATAAACTTGGAAAATGATGAATTTAATGAGAAAAACGCTAAATGTTGGGGTACTCACTGTCAAAAATGAGGTAGACCTAGATGGGGTAGGAACAAGTAGAAAGAAATTTGAATAAATAGAAACAATGACAAACACATTTTTGGAAAGACAAAAAAAAAAAAATGATTTATTTTACCAACCAAAATTTGAAGAACCATTAAAAAAACCAATAATCAAAAAGGATCAAAATTAACTTTTTACCAAATCTTAAACCTGTTAGCCCCACAACCAAATAAGAAAAATGGTAGTACTACAGTCGACTTTTATTATAAAGAGCACTTTTATAAAGATGTCCTACTTCTGCTTATAAAGAGCAAATTCTGAGGCCTCAAATCTATAGTTCTCTTTGTGTTTCTTTGTTTCGCTGTCCTTTTATAGCAACATTTCTGTTTCAAGAGGTAGTTTGGGCAGTCTCACCGACCTTGCTATTACGAGAGTCAACTGTACAAAACTAAATTGAACTTTAAACTTAAATAAAAATTGAAAGAAGAAAACTGAACCAACACAGTATCAAAATAGGATGACACATGGAACAACCTAACGATCAAACTCGAAAAAAACAATTGAATATAAATCAAGAAAATCTTTTTCCTTCTTAAATTAACTCAAACTGAAACTACTAGACCCACATTTGGATGTTTTTTTCCAAAGATAGGAAAAAAGCTAACTGTATAATCCATACAAAGTCTAACTTTAAAAAACAAGAACAGTCACTGTCTTCCAATAACAAACCATGATAACCCTTTGTTTAAACACAAAATACGTAAAGGCAGAGAACATGGAACCACTACTGCAAAAATGTTGGTAAAAAAGGAAGTAATACAAAAACAAAATGAAAAAAAAATAGTTGATAAAATTAAAACCATCCCATTGTTTAAAAAAATGTATTTAATTTGACCCTCCAGTTACAGGCTGAAACCATCAAATCTAAGATGGCTGCCGGATGTAGCGGCCATTTTGAATTTCTAAAAGGCATTAAACACCAGTTGTCTGCAGTTTGATAGCACGCGACTAGAGAACGGGTACTACTATCAAAATGTTGACCACTTTGTGATGATTCAGCAGTTGTTTCACCGATGGTAATCTTCATGAGCCCATCTTCTTGACCTGGTGCTAAACAATGAAGAACTAAACCAAAGGCTTCCTTTGCCTTCCTTCTATAATAACGGATGGTGCTATCAGATGCTTCTTCTAATGACAGACGAAGCTGCCCATCAACAGCAGACATTCCACCCTGAGTAAGGAAAGTGTTCAGGGATTGCAGCTCCACATTCTTTGGTCGGGGGGTTGGAGCCCAAGAAGAGTCAAGTGCACCTACATCCTGTGTAATATCTCCATCAGTTGATGAGGACTCAGATGTATGCTAGAAAAAATCATGAGAAAATAAAAACAGTGAGATGAGTGCTACATATAGCAAGGTTGAAATACAAATTTATGTACTCAAAGAAGAGTGCTTACAATTCATCTGTGATAAATGAGATGCAATATGTCAAAGTCCCTTCTTAGTTAACTCTCATTACCTCATGAACTGAAGTGCACGCTGTGTCGGTGGGTTGGAGAGATGGTACACCAGCCAGCGATGTGAAATCACTGATTGTACACTGCTGCTCTTCTTGTTCCTTAGAGCGCACATCACTAGGTAATTGTTCCGCTGTCTGGTGCGTAACTGCTTGTTTGTGCCTAGATAGACAACCTCTACAGATACCTGAAAGTCATATGAACAATGAGAATTAACAAAGTGTTAAGTGTTAAGGCCGCAGCAGGCTTAATATTTTTTAAACGTAAAAGATATAAAGCGGGACGTATGTAGACAACAATATTGAGCAATAGATCCCTTGAACAAAACCCATGTCATAAATTCCCCCCCCCCCCCACCAAAAAAATAAATAAATAAATATAAATAATACATCTTCTTTTATTATTTTAGATTGACTGTATTTAATTGCAATTATTACTTTTTCATTTTCTGATGTGGCTGGCTCTGGAGGATTTGTATAAAAGGGGAAACAAATCTGAAATTGTTCTTGTAAATGGTCTGATGAGTCACATCTCGTGAATAAAAGTCAAAACAACAATGTAAGTGCAAAACAAATATTTGTTTTATTCCCCAAACTGCGCATGTTCAGTGCAGCTCCAACTTTTTTTATATAAATTTTTTTCAAAATATCCACCATGTGTGTCCACTGCCGAAAACCATGTGTGTGGTCCAGAGCTGTGACAACCAGTATTAGTTTTTCACACAATAATAAATTTCACTGGTCCCAAGTCAACTGCATGATAAGGGATTTAATTGATATAACCTACCCAGAAACAAAATCAGTTGATCAGATATGGACCATGACCATGATTGATTCATTTCAGAAATGTGTTATTGTTTGATTTCTGTCTTCTTACCTGTTCCAACTGTGATCAGGATACCCCATCGATCAAACATCTCACGGCTAGTTGCTTTATTCACACCACGGAATGGTTTGCCTTTCCCTTTATGGAGTGGATGACAACATTTCCTTGATGATGTCCAACTCAACCCTAACTTGTATCTATGAGCTGGACATATTGTCTTATCAGTGTATGCATCGACGTCGAACAAACCACATCGCAGGAGGATCAGTTTCCACTCGACATTCACATCATATGCAGCGACTTTCCACTTCTGCAAATGGCTCCGTATGTTTTTTGTGCATCAATTAAGTTGCACTGTATTTAGTTCGCGCGGATAAGAGGGATTTACACCACATTCGATGGCTTTGCTATACTCAAAATTACTAAAATCACATTGCATCTGCACAGACAGCATGTCCATGGCTGCCATTTTGACTGTGATGTAATGCGAGGGCGTCTTCTTTCGATACCGCGCGCTCACTGGGTGGGCGGCAACAGGACGTTCCCCTCCTACCGGATCAGTGCACACCACCAAAGGTAGCCCACTCACCCACCCACCCACCCAATAGGTGAAGTCTGCAAAATGTAGATTTTGTTACGCTACAACAATTCCTGCAAAATGTCAATTAAGGGCAACCAATTGCACTCGGAACTGTCTAGGGGGCTATGTAGGTTTGGTCTTGAAAAATAGGAATTTTTCAACTTTGTTGACCGTGAGCAAACAAAAACAAGAAGAGCTGACAGTTGTTTTATTTTTTATTATTGTAGTCGGATATCTGAACTATATTTTCTCCAAGTTTGTTGACTCTCAGCCCTGCATTAATTAAGTTATGGTTTACCGCATAAATGACTTCATTTCGTAATAGAGCTGATACGTGTTTTTCTTACGCCTATATCTCCGCAGTGAATGGTTGCATATCCAAGATTTATATTTCATCGTTTAGAGGAGATTAAATCCTTTCTTTTGATATGTAGGTCGACAGTAAATGATTTAGTTTAAGGGAATACAAGAGGCTATAACTTTACACCAGAAACAACACAAATTTACTCCCCAGAAGTCACCCTTTTTTGCTCAAAATTGTCGGTGCCCCGTACTCGGCCACCGTGTGATTATTTATCGAGCTACTCCACCGAGTGGTATCGTCTCAGGTGGGGATCAAATGGCCAAGATTTGAACTTAATTCGCCGACCCCCCACCTTGTCAATTTTTCAAGATTTTGCATGGACTTCTCATAAATGCACACTTAAGCAGCAACATTTATTTTTGAAATGGGTAACATTTTAGTGTTAAAATAATGTGTTGGGCCCACTAATTTAAATCGACCAGTACATGTAAACTATGGAGAAACTGCAAGGGCCCTGACTTGAAAACTTAACTCAAAACACAAAAACTAAACTCGACACTTGAAAAGTCAACTCGAAACTTGAAAAATTAACTCGAAAGTTGAAACTCGAAAAAGTCAACTCGAAACTCGAAAAACTTAACTCGAAACTCGAAAACTTAAACTCGAAACTCAAAGAAACGTAACACTCCTGATATCAGCTCTATTTATCCCATTGGGTATTAGCCATTTGTTTATTGCTGTTTTTGCTGACGTGGCCCTGAGAAATGATGTTGCGCAATTTTTGCAAATTTTCATTTGTCCAGTGTGTACCCCTTCATCTACTAAACAGCCCCATCCATACTTGAAACAAGCCAAATGGGCAAAACCTAACACTTTTGTTGTGTTGCAAAATTAAACAAAACTAGAGGTTCGTGTTTGTTGTTACAAACGCAGAGTGGTCGGGCAGGCAATTTGTTAATGAAACACTGCCGAGTTAAGTTATGAATATGTTTATGTAACAACAAAGGATCATGAAATTAAATACTTTCCATTACAATAAATTATTTTGTTGAAAAATGCATCTTTAACGGTGTGCTTAATTTCCGTTAACATTTTATGTACACATACGAGTTAATTCTGGCTTGATGACGTCATTATTAAAAAAACCGGGAAGTGAATACTGATTTAGTTCGGACTGGATAAATGTTGATTGTCAAGTTAAATAATGTGTGCAAATATGAAAAATATAACCGTATGTATTTATAACACCTAACTTCCGGTTTCATGACATCACTAGTATTTGGAAGCAAAAGTTTAACATTAATTGTTATGGTATCGTTATTTGGGCTACGAAGATATACGACATGGATCACATGATTTAAAATATGATCATTTCAAATTCTCATTGACGTAACTTCGGGTCTGATGCCGTCGTGAATTTGACACCTTGCTAAGTTATCTGTGGTTAATCAAAGAATATCAAGGGGCGATTTGGTAAAATTGGAACCGATGCTCTTCAGATTAAAGAAAACAAACACAATTTTATGTGCCGCTAGGGGGCGCCCCTTTCGGATTATGACGTCATCACACTGTTTTTTGTGACTTGCATTTCTCACTAAACACTTGCATAATATACATGTCTGTAGTAAAATGCTTCCGCTTTTGCGTTATATTCAATTTTCATTGCACTTCTGGTAACACCAGTAACACCGGAAGTAAAGGTCAAGCGGTTTTGTGTCCGGGAACAAGAAATGTTTCTCATGGCAAAGTCTACGACCTCACGAAAAAAACGAACACGATACTGTATTTAGTTCAAAAGATATAGCACAAACTGTTTTGTCAAAATTTGCCCTTAGATCGCTTGTAATTTGATACCTGATGACGTCATGATGACGTAACAAAATGTTTAACATATCTTCGTAACATGGTACAAGTTCACACAAGTTTTTGTGATTGTACCGTAAACCGTTCGGAAGAAATTTTGCTTTGTTTTTATTTCATGCTAACGTCTTCATTTTGAATTCACCTAAATTTGACCTTCCGGTAGACCCGGAAGTAAAGGTCAAGCCAGTTTACGTACACGACAAAAAATGTTAAGCAATTAATGGTCTATCTCAATGCACAATACAAACATCATTGATTATTTAGTTCAAGAGTTATAGCTCCAATAGTTTGACACCCGATGACGTAATCATGACGTCAGAGTAATATGCACCACTTAGGATGAGGGTCGATATATGCTGAAAGTTACAAGTTCCTATCATAAACCGTTTAGGAGAAAACCCGTGGAAACGTGCTGTACGGGAAAAAAAAGAAGAAAGAAAGAAAGACTAGATTTTGGCGTTTGTTGAGTTACAAACGCAGAGTGGTCGGGTGGACAGCCTTTTCATTATACACTGCCCAGTTAAGTTAGGAGTATATGTTTATGTAGAAAAAAGGATCACGAAATTAAATCCCTTCAAGTACAATCAATGTTTCAAAAAGGTATCTTCAAAGGTGTGATGAATTTCAGTAAACATTCTATGTGCACAAAAAAAGTTATTTCTTGTTTAATAACACCTAACTTCCGGTTTGATGACGTATTAAAAGCACCTAACTTCCGGTTTGATGACGTCACAGCATTAGAGATCCAAAAGTGAACATTTTAAAGTAACTTCCGGCATGATGGCCTCATGAATTTGAAACCATGCCAAGCTATCTGTGGTTAATCAGAGAATATCAAGGGGCGATTTGGTAAAATTTGGACGGATGGTTTTAAAGTTAAAGAAGGGAAACTCTATTTTATGTGCCGCCAGGGGGCCCTTTCGGATGTTGACGTCATCACACTGTTTTTTGCATCTTGCTTTCCTCACTAAACACTTTCATAATATATATGTCTGTAGTATAATCCTTCAGCTTTTGATTTATATTCAGTTTTTATTGCACTTCCGGTAACACCGGAAGTAAAGGTCAAGCGGTTTTGCGTCCAGGAACACGAAATGTTTCTCACGGCATAGTCTACAACTTCACGAAAAAACGAACACGATACTCTATTTGGTTCAAAAGATATAACGCAAACTATTTTGTCAAATTTGCCCTTAAATCGCTTGTAATTTGATACCTTATGACGTCATGATGACGTAACAAAATTTATAACATCTTCGTAACATTGTACAAGTTCACACAAGGTTTTGTGATCATACCGTGAACCGTTCGGAAGAAATGTTGCTTTGTTTTGATGTCAGGCTAACGTCTTCATTTGGAATTCACCTAACTTTGACCTTCCGGTAGACCCGGAAGTAAAGATCAAGCGAGTCCACGTACACGACAAAAACTGTTAAGAGTCATTTCGTGTACATGTAAATACTTCATATAAGTGTCCATGCACGCTCAAAATTTGTTTTTATACTTTGTGGGATGAAAGGACTTTGGGAGCAAGTTACCAAAATAGACTTCCAATATTTTGCCCATTGCCATGGTTACAGGCCATTATAACATCTTCGTAACATTGTACAAGTTCACACAAGGTTTTGTGATCATACCGTGAACCGTTCGGAAGAAATGTTGCTTTGTTTTGATGTCAGGCTAACGTCTTCATTTGGAATTCACCTAACTTTGACCTTCCGGTAGACCCGGAAGTAAAGATCAAGCGAGTCCACGTACACGACAAAAACTGTTAAGAGTCATTTCGTGTACATGTAAATACTTCATATAAGTGTCCATGCACGCTCAAAATTTGTTTTTATACTTTGTGGGATGAAAGGACTTTGGGAGCAAGTTACCAAAATAGACTTCCAATATTTTGCCCATTGCCATGGTTACAGGCCATTATGTGTTTTGGCCATTTTCCGGCAATTTTGAGGCTGCAAAAATTCATTTTTTGCGTTATTTTCAAACGTCATCAAGCCAAACCGCAAAGTAATGTCACATAAGTAACTATATCACGACAAAGTATCATCCTTACCCTTACAAGAAAAATATAGAAACACTTCTGAAAAATCTCCTTTATATTATTTTTAGGCCCTATAATACAGCATGTTTTTACAACTAGCAAAATTGCATTTTTTACCCCATTTTTATCCCTCCAAAATGGCACTTGCCAGGGCACTCAGAATAATTTCCCTTCGGCTATGGTTAGTTCAGACATTGGTCTTTTCATATCTGGTGAGAAAATTTTGGGTTATTGAATAGCCTTTGTGCAGTAGCGCTCCAAAAATGGTATATTTCACAAAAACCTAAAAAAAGTGTATTTTCAGTGTTTTCCTTTGTTTTGGGTAATAAACTTGTATAATTGGTATTGTTCATGGACCTAGCACATTTTCACAAACTGAATCAGACTGTTTATCATTTTTAGACCATCGGAAGAATAGTAGGTAGTGTACTTCCCCCCACACCTGGCTAGGCCCCGCCCACTCCTCTGTGCCACCGAATTTTGAACGTTTATGTTGCATAATGAAACAAATGTAAATAAATAATATGCAAGTGAACACTT